GAGACGGATGAGGAGGATCGATCGAGATATTACGCGCGCATCGAATTACGAGAGGGATTATCATCGTGCTGGGGGAAGGGAGGGAGGGGGGAGGAGATCATCGCGTTGCCCACGATAATTATTTCTGCGTTGGCCATAATTATTGCCGGGGTGGCAATTAATTCCTGGCCGAGCGGCAATTAATTTATTGCGGGTTGATTAATTGCCGCATGCTAACCGTTGAGAGACAGTTCGTTACTGTGTGCTTCTGCTGTGGATCGCCCTTTTGGCTGCGATACAAGATCGACCGCCATCGTGACCCTTTGCCTCGGCAGAATTCCTCGGGACATCCGGAGATGGTTTTCCTTTCCTTGTCGTTGGCCGATGTTAAAGTTGGGTCAAGGAGATAGGGATAATTTGTGTTTCCACGTGGAATATTCATTGCTCTGAAATTTTGATTTTAATCTACGTATCGTTATCTACCTCTTCTTTCGACTTCAGGATGAGTCTTCTAATGTGACGATTTTAAATTACCGATTAGTAGCAGACTTGCAACTTGTAAGGAATATTTCCAAGAAAAATTGTACGCACGATAGTCTGAAGAATTTTTAATTTCACACTGTTCGTTTTTATGTGTAGATATATAAGTCAATTTTTTTTCTAATAATAATAATCTAATTCTTTACATTGGTTGTCACCGACAGGAAGCTATTCATTTTAAAAAATACCTCAATGAAGTGATTTAAAGTTTATCATATTGGAACACATTGCGTATACTTGAACCTCGATTAATCAGATGACATTCGCTGGTGGATTAAAACAGACCACCCATAAAACTCGTAGATATTCCAGAGTTCTTCCTTCTCACCAGAGGGACCATTTTATTAATTGTCACGATCGTAGAGCCATTCGAAACGTTTTTTCCTGTCGAACAAAAATGCAGGCATCGATAATGCGCGACCCTCGAAGAGGCGAACGAACTATCGTATTTTTCTTCCGTTATCGAGGGAGGATCGAGCGATAAATGACGGTCCCCGACCCATTTTGCGGATGAGATATTGCGTAGATTTTCACTTTTCACCGTGGACCGGCCATTTGCGGCGATCTTTGAGCGCGCTCGAAGAACCAACGCATTTCGATGAAGGATATGCTGTTTGGAAAACACGATTCGTTCCGTGCCGTGGCCATTGTGGCCTCTGGACACGTCGAATTTTTCAAAATCTACCAGGTAGAAGTTCCCCTTTCGTCACGCTGGTTTTTCACTCCATAGCTGGTGAAATAGTTCGTGGAAACGCAGTCGAATAAAATCGTCGATATCCATTTTCCTTCGATCTTTTGCGATGAGTTATACGATTCGTATCATGACAAAAAAAAAAAAAAATATTCTCTCAAATTTCTCTTCGAATCTTTTGTATAAATAATTCATAATATTTGTAAATAAAAAGTGTTATTAGTTTGATCTTCTATCGGAATCGTTGATGACAAAAAATAAATCTTTCTTTGTTTCTTTCTTCTTTATGGAATTTTCATTCTTATCGAAAACAATTTCAAATATTCTTCTGAAATTCCGAATAAGCGATTTTCGTCCAGGAGAGATTAAAAGGATTCTCTTTCTACTGTTTATTGGAAACCTTGATACATTCGAGTTTAATTATAAATATTATGGATCATACATTGCTATATTTACAATTCGATCGAGCAGGTGGATCCTATTTGTTAATTGTCCATCAGAAATGGGAGGGGAGAGTATATCCAAAAATAAGAACGTACGAAAATGTTTTCGTAACGACCAGGAGGGGAAATTAATATTTCGCGGATTGACGAAAGATAGAAATTAGATAGAAATAAATTATCAAGACGAGAGCTGAACTACTGAGTTTCTTTGGCTCTCCCGATCCACGACGCGAAATATTATTTAATCCTCACTGGCCGTTCACGCTCGTGGCAATTCCATGATGTTCCTGCCTCTCGAGAA